CCACAGAGACAACACCTACTTTATGGAGTGTGGGGAGGAGTACACAGTGTGGGTAAAGTGCCCGCTCAGCACCTGGCGTGGGGCTGGCATTTAGCAAATGCCTCATTAAGCTGTTTTTATTCTCCCCGAGCCAAGCCGTGGGCCAGGTCTTCAGCGTGTGAAGGCGAGGGCCTGACACACAAGAGGTGGGTGAACCGGGCATCCTGAAACCTGGGTTCACCGTCACTCCTCTGGGTCTCTGTTCCCAGGCCCTCGCCCAACAGGCAGAGATCTGGGCTCCAGGCTGGCCCTGGCCACCGGCGCCTCGCCCTCCCTCAGTTTCCTCAACTGTAAAACAGTGAAGCTGTGATCCGTCCCTGCCCCTGGGGCTTCTCCTGGCACTGCCCGGGGGCCCGCCCCATGTCACGCTGAGGGGGCTCAGCCCCTGCCGAGACAGCAACTTGCTGGAACGTCTATACGAGTTCCTGGCTGAGGCAGCCCCTCCCCAGCCCAGCCTCGCCCCTCTCAGAGGCTGCAGCTGAGCAAGGCCAGCTAGTCCCTCCCAGGCATGATGCTACAGGCCCGGCCTCTGGTATGCGGCTGGAACCCCCACAGCAAGTTTTTCCCCAGATAAATCACCGGCTCCTGAGGCCGAGGGAAGGACAGGTGGGTGACCTTCCACCTCAGAGTCAGGGCCTACTGAGGCCAAAGGGAGGCTCAGAGGGCACAAGCTGCTATGGCTCAGAGCCACACTGCCAGGGAGAAGGACCTAGGACCCGCCGCCTCTTGCCCCAGGGGAATCTAGAGTCACAGGGCAGCAAGCTGTCAGAGCTGAAGGGACCCTTAACAGTCTTTAAGGCCTGCACCCATTTTTTTTTTGAGTTGGAGTCTCACTCATCGCCCAGGCTAGAGTACAGTGGCACGCTCACGGCCACCCCAGCGTTGTCAGCCTGTTGGGCTCCGGAGATCCTTCTGCCTCAGCCTTCCAAGTAGCCGGAACTACAGGCGCATGCTATCACATCCGGCTAATTTTAATTTATTTATTTTTTAATTGTAGAGACGAGGTTTTGACAAGTTGCCCGGGCTGATCTCGAACCCGTGGGCTCAGGCAATCCACCCACCTCTTCCTCCCAAAGTGCTGGGATTATAGGCTGAGCCACCGAGCCTGGCCAGCCTACACCCGTTTTATAGGTGGGATGGCCTGGGCTCGGAAAGGAGCTGGGTTCTGTCACGGGTCACGCAGCCAGGTGAAAGCAGAGCAGGGACCTGACCCCCCACATCCGCTCGTTCTTTTCTAGTCTTTTGGGAAAGGGGATCTGGTGGTGGTGCTGATGGGAACAGAGCCGCTCCCCTGAGTGCATGCTGTGTCACTTCCCCTGCCCCAGGGTCTGACTGCTGTGCTGATGACAGGGCAGGTGAGTGAGGAGGAGGTGGGCTGGGCTGCCCTGACTCAGCACCGCAGCCCCAGTCAGAAGCCCCCAGTCAGAAGCCCCCCGTGGGAAGGGGGCCAGTGTCCAGACAGAGGGATCCCTATCTCAGGCAGGTGGAGGGGGGAGGGTTTTCCCCTAAGTTAGTGCCTGGTGCCGAGGCTAGAAGAGGGGGCGGGACCAAGGGGACACCAGATGATTCACCGGGAGAGATAAGCAGGAGTGCTCCAGGCAGGCGTGCAGACAAAGCGCCCTGTCAGCATCCGTCAGCGTCCTGGCCCTGCCCCGCCAGCCTGGGAAGCAGCCGGGGCAGGGGAGACAGAGGATTGCAGGTGGCCTGGATCCGCTGCCCCTCCCAGGCTCTTCCTGTCACTCTGAACTGTCAGGGCCATGGCACAAGGAGAGGGGAATTGGTCCTAGAGTTTGAGGGCAACGCAGGCCTGGTTCCCACCCCTCCACCCAAGAACTAGCTAGGTGACCTTGGATAAGGACTAACCAGTCAGGCCTCAGTTTCTGTATCTGAAAAATGGGGCAGATAACACTACCTGAGATTATAAAGTGCTTTGCACTCAATAAACAGTAGCTATTATTATAGCCCGCCTACATGCGCCATGCTGGCCCTGGGTGCCAGGAGAATGGCAGGGAAGGGAGCACACAGGGCCAGAGAGCAGGGACTCGGCTTACCACGGTGCTGTGGGGGCGTGAGCAAATCCCTGTCCTTCTCTGTGCCTCAGGATCCCTGTCCATAAGATAAGGCGCTTAGCCTCCAACACCTCTGAGGCCCTTCTCAGACCCTCAAGAACCACCTGCGCCTGAGCCCGCGGGTTCGAGACCCACCCGGGCAGCTTGGTGAGACCTCATCTCTACAATAAATAAACAAATTAGCCGGGTGTGGTAGTACGCATCTGTAGTTCCAGTTACTTGGAAGAATTGCCGGAGCCCAGCAGGTCGAGGCTGTGGTGGCCGGGAGTGGCCACTGCACTCCAGTCTGGGCGATAGAGTGAGACTCCAACTCAAAAAAAAAAAAAAAAAAAAAAAAAA